AATAGTTAAAACAAAAAAAATAAAAATAAAAAAAATAAAAAAAAAAAAAAAAAATAATTAAAATATAAAAAAAAAAATAGGAGAGAACAACCCCGGACGGTTTTGGTGGGCCCCACCAAAAAAAAAAAAATAAAAAAAAATCCGCGGGGGGGGGGGGGGGGGGGGGGGAGGATAGGAGAAGCCGAACAAATGAAATCCCATTTTTATAAGTAGTACACAAAAGCATAGTTAAAAGAGTGGAATGGTTATTAAGCATGCGAGACTCCTGGTCTATGTTTCTGTGGACTTGATGTTTGCCACCTTTTATAACCGGTCTCCTCTACTAACTACACCAAAAACAAACAGTTGTTGATATAAAAAGTTGCAAAATGCCGAACCTGCTGTTAAGCTGTGGTTCTGTTTACAGGGATTTGTTTCATAAGAACTAACTTGGTTTTGTAATTATCATTGTGTGCACACAGCACAAGGTTAGGTGTTTCTTTTGTTTTGGGGCAGTACTCTTTCCTCAGATACAAAGACAGTTTATGAAATAAAATGTATTTAAACTACATTTTGATATGTGGTATTTTTTGTATCAAAAGATTTCGACTAATCATAAGAGTTGAAAACAGTAACCAAGAAAAGTTTACAATTTCACATTTTTCTCACGTGGGAATTTTTTCTGTGTTGTTTAGACTCAGACAAGATTTTGTTATAAAGAAGTTGGTTGGATAACTAAGGGTGCTGCTACATACATGATGCTTTGCGAAGTTTTTGTAAGCATAGTAATGACAATAGTAAAGTTAGTACCTCTTTGTATTCCTACTAGCCTGCAAACTGCAGACGTACTTCCGGTCGTCGCTTAAGGCTCCCTCCCTTTTTCGGAGGTTACTGTGGTAAGTAAATTAATTACCATTTAATAGTGTGTGTGGCATAATCAGTAAACTTGCTACCATGTATTCCTTGTACTGCTCACGCTTACACAGGTAGAATACAAGAGTGGCAAACATAGTTATTAATAAAAAACGTATATTTATACTGTGATTGTAGTCCTGAATAGGACTGTTGTTTAACAGTCTTATAGAGGACTGCAGTCTGCAATATATTGCTTATGTATTTTCGATTAATATATTGCCAATTTAAATGTAAAGGAGTATTTACTTGTGCTATTTTATGTTAACTGTTTTGTAAATAAAAACAACAATGAACACGAAAGATATATTGTCAAAGAAAAAAGATCACAAGGATTTGACGAATAAAGGCAAAAGAATTTGTTATAAGTTGGTTGTTGCGGAGAAATTTACTGGGTACAAATCGTATTGTCTGAATTATCAATTATCAATACGATAGCCTTAAATAGCCTACAATAGCCTAGAAATAATTGGATCTTTTTCAATCTTGAGACGATACATCCTGATCCAATGCATTGACAAACTGAGACAAACATCCCTGCTGTCTCAGTGACTTGATTAATGCAAATTTTGCACTTAAGTATCTCTACAGAGACAAACCAAAATTCGCAATTAAACTAGTCTGTATATATACAGAGTCGAACTTCGCAATAAATTGATTGCAAGTTTTTTACTCACATATACGAGGCAAAATTTTGCAATTAGTTAATTGCAAAGTTTTACTCTAAATATATATAATTTCACTACACTGATACAAATCTTGCACTTAATGAAACATGGTTAACTGCGAGATTTGCATGTGTATATATCCGTCTGATTTTGTTAAAACGTGGCCACTAGGTTATCGCCTGGTGCTGGACATAGCCCGGCTCCAGGCCAGTCTGGTGTACAAAAAAGTAGGGGGCTTGCCGTCTTGGTCGGTACAGCTGGATAGCCCAGAGACTGCCCTAACAGTGGGTGGGTGGATCAGGTCTGGAGGTCAAAACTAGTGGGGTAGGGAGGGGGCTGTTTTGACACAACCCCTTCAGTAAGCAGCAGCGTTCAGTAGAGGCTTTGACTGTCAAGTACCTTGTTCTTAATTTGCCCTAGCCAGCTGAATGAGGCCTCTGCTGAGAATGATTATCATGATAATTGCAGAGCTCAGTGGGAGGTACAGACAGTCACCCATTGTCGTGGGTGGGGAGGGTCAAAGTCTTGATACCATGGACACACTTAGCATAGCGGAACCTGTAGACACTCACTGAAGCCATGTTTTCATAAATTCAGTCAGATATATATGCTCAGTATTTTTTTACTAGTTTTACTTTTCACTGAGATAAGTAATTGTGAACTTTGTCGTCTATCTGTAGAGATACTTAAATGCAAAATTTGCGTTTATATCTACTCCCCTGCTGCCCAAATGCGAGTTTTTAATGTTCAAAGTTAACAGGATGTTGCTAACACTTGGAAATTGCGCGAATTACCATGCGTTGTTAACAGAAGGTAAAATATGTGCTAGTAAAGTATGTGACGGAAACGAAGGTTTTGAATGTCATTGCTGCTACTAAACGCCTTAGGCCATCACCTCTTTTTTTTCGTTTGGCGTCGAATGCGTTTCCTGATATTGGGTCGGTCGGCCGGAATTAAAAAAAAAAACTTAAAAAAAATCACAAGAAGTCTCGGAATAGGAGGGTCTGGTACCTCAGGGTGACGTTAAAAGTTAACATTTATATTTGGATTAACGAAATGCACAATATACTGTAAAAAATGTTCCTGTTTTTCTCCATGCTGTTACTACGCTCATTTTTCAGATTAAAAGAATTATTTCAAGTGAAAAATGGTTTAACTACGTCGTTACTTCTTCTTCTTTTTTTTTGAAAATGCCAAAAATTTGGGTCGGTCGGACGACGCTAAACGAAGAAAAAAAAAGAGGATTGCCTTACGCTCAATTTCAGCCGCTCTCTCGGTAAGAGGAGCGCCGGCTCATTTTACGAACAGCGGCTTGTAATTGAGCCTAGTAAATGCCTTTGCTGCTAGCAAGACTTATCCCTTAAAGCCCCATTATCCAATAACAAATTCTTCAGAATGATCTCCAAACATTTCCTTAAAGAATGTATTGAGAGAATTTGACAAAAGATTAAAGCATTTTCCTCTGTTGATCATTTTATAATAATTCTCCTAACCTTTTCTATTGCTTATGTGTTGTAATTGTAAGGAGAAAATTGCATTTGGTCACTCTTGGGGCTTTGAGGGTCAACTGGAAAGTGGGTAAGTGAAATCTGTGGCTTAAGAAGAAAAGC